ACGTATCCTTGGGTTTTTCAGCACTCGCAAGGGTTTTATTACCTGTATTTGTTTACCTGTCATCCTTATTAGCCATAATTTCTTTTCTACTCCAGTGCAAATTTCTAGCTACAGTTCCACACGTGTGAGCTACCTGTGCCCTGTCCATGTCTTTGATAAAATGCAGGTATATTATTTGGTATATGGAGACAAATCATCTTGGCTCTCACAGGGACCTTCTCAGAACTCTGAGTTCTGTTCCTCATGTGACATTCTGGGTACCTTGTGCAAAGTTTCCTTTGGCTGCGGTCTTGTGTGCTGCAAGTGTGTTGTATGTCCACACCTTGACTACTGACTAATCTGGTCCCTGGTACGTCTTGCTGTGGTGGGGTCACACCACTGAAAGCACTACTCATCAGTCTTTCGGTACAGTAGGGTGTGATCTAAGGCACAGGAGTTTTCCTGTCATATGATGTTAGAAGAGGTTTTGATTCCCCAAGCTGAGTGACTCCTTGGTTTTTAACATGCTGCTAAACACTGGGTGCTTCCTGGGACAGATCAAGGGCTCCAAATACTTAAATACTTCAGTTCTTTGTAGCATGAGGTCATTATGAACGAAGAACCAAGCTTAGACTAACTTTTTGTGACTTTAAATTCACTAGCAAAAGTAAGAGAGCAGGATAATAGGAGCATTCATTTATTTCATCCCTATTTCCAAAGCTTAGAAAGCTAGAACCAAAATCCTAATATCTCTATAGAAAAAAACAAAACAAAACAAAACAAAAACATTTGTACCTTGTTTGCTCCCTCTGCTCTCTACAACATCTTGTCATGCTTACAGAAGTAAAAACTCCTTCACAGCACACAAGTTTCTGTTGCCTTGCTTTATGGGCTATCACTGGAAAGCCTCCTCTTCCCTTGATGAAGTCTGACATTTCCCAATGACTATCTCACATACCATTTGCTGTGGAAACAGATTGTTCCACTGTGGTTGCAAGGTACTTTATTTCTCCTACTCAGGGCCAGATTTTGCCCTCCTCATTCCCTGAAGTTCCATTGCTCCTTGACTACAGAGTGACAATCACAGTGGCCCTCACTCTTCCTGGTGACTGTGCAAGTAAAAATTTCAGTCTCTTCTATTTTCAGGGATTTCAACAAGCTCAGATGGCAAGGCCGAGAAATATGATGACAATGGAGACAAGGTAAAACTTTCTCTGTTTCAAGAGTGTTTAACTAGAAGCCAGAAGGACAGCAGGACATGCTAGTGATTTTCAGTGTATTCCTACTAAAGGGACAGTGTTTGTAAACAGTAGATTGAACTTCTGTTTAGAAGCTCAGGAACTATCTATTAATCTTTCCAGTGGATAGAGCAAAAGCATGTGGCCATCCCATCTGGCTTGGACACTTCAGAAAAACCTCATCCCCCTGACAACTCTATAAGAGGCAGAGGTAACATCCTTGGGGTGTGACAGGCAAAAGGCAGTTTAAGAGTTGTTACACTTCCCGGTCTCTAATTAAGAGAAGGATGAGGATGACTAAGCTCCTACTTTAGACACCTTATTAAGAAATTGATGTTAAATGGGATGAATCTAGGCTCAAATGCTTCAGAAGATTTATTAAATACTTAGCAGGTAATCCATATTGTTTATCAAGATCAGATTGATGTGTCTTCTCCATAATTTGTACAGACAAGCTCAGAAGAGCTTTGCAAACTTCAGCCCAGCACAGATATTTCAGAGCTCTTAGCCACTAGGGCAACCCACTGCTGCAAAAATAGGTCTGAAGTAAACATCCTTCTAAAGCCTTCTCTGTTTTTATCTTCTCCCTTCCAGTTTCCCAACTATGCCACTCTCATTGCCTGTCCCACAGTGGTGTCCATTCTTTTCATATTGATGCTCATGTTGTTTTGGAAACGTAAGTGTCCCTAAGCACATAATGGATTAATGTTCCTAATGCTGCGCTAGTGCAGGTGTCCTCCTGTGTCTCTGGCTAATTTTCTGCTAAATCTGCCATGGCTCCTGTGACAGAGCTCTGTTCATTTTATGGGGGTTGCTGTCCTTACCCCAGGCCTGTGTCACCACGATGAGACCAAGGAGCATGAATTGGTGAGGATGCAGCAGGAGGAAGCCTGTGCAAAGAACCTGTTCAGTCATTTGTTGCAGGTTGGGTTCATCTTGTTGGCTCTTGCTTTATAGTAAAGTCATCCCATAGACTCCTGGAATTGCTCCTGACAGGCATTGGTGTATCTTAAATCAGAATAAGATCCTTTATTTTCTGCTTAGCCCACAGAATTTTTGTGACTTGCTACCTTTGCTGCTTAACTCATTTGACTGATTCATTAGTTATGTGTTTCATTTTGCCATTGTGACATCAATATTATTTTGCTTCTAGGTAAACACACAAATAAGTTTATAATAAAAAGGTAGGTAATCCATTTTGTAATTTCCTATTAAAAATTCCCAAGTAATTTTTCTTAGAAGGAGGAAGGTACTGGCCACTGATTGTGGGTATAGTATTGGTTTGTGGCACTGACTACCGAAGTTTTGTTATGAGAAAAGTTCAAATCCATCCCAGAAAAGCGGTGGCTCCTGGATCCTGCTTCTATGTAGCAACAAACAGACAGCCAGAGCACTGGAGAACTGCAGTAACTGCTACTATTATGTAGTGATCCCAGCTTAAGGAAATACCAAATCTGCTTTATTCTTTGATCAACTACCAGGGCAAGACCCTGATAGGGTTATTTTAAAGAAATGAAGAGAGAAATGGTTACAATGATCAACCAGCAAAATTATTTATGGACATTCCTCCATGGAGTGGCAATCCATGCCAATACACAAAGAATGTGCCATCAAGGGCACAATGCAGCAGTGTGGCAAACCAAGTTTTCCACTACTAGATAAGCCTTGCAGCTCTCACTGGGGCCACTGGACCCTCTCACACACTTCCTGTGTCACACTGAAGTTTCTGAGGGGATCAATGAAGTGATAATTTTGAGGCAGATGTGAAACATGAAAGCATGATGAGTCACCCTGTGCAGGTGTAACTGCTAAGTTCATGTCTTCTGGTTTATCTTGAAAAAATAATTTTCTCTAGGCAAAGCACAAGCAGTCCAGTGGAATGTCATCCCTTACCAAAGACCAATGATATTTCAATGGTCGATTCTCCCTCTCAGCACACCCCATCTACGAGGTAAGAACTGGGGCCAGAAAGGGACTCTTTTCTGAACCCTATGATGATTGCCCTCCAGCTGTCATTATGATGAACAGCTTTTCCTATCCACTAGAATAATTCAAGCAAGGTAAACTCTTCTCCAGTGTAAAAAGCAGACATTACACCACTGAAGTAGGCAGCTTCTTGTCTCTGTTTCAACGGGGATTTGCTGACATAACAAATAAGACAGGATGCTCTGAAGCAGCAATGTGCTTTTGCCCCATCCATAATGATCTGTGCTTCTCACTACAGCCATGGACCAGCAGAAGACCTTGAAAAAGCTTTCACCGGTGCTGAAGGAGAAAACACCATGTTTTCCCTGTGAAGAGATCCTACACCTTCTGTAGATGCCATGGACAATAAAAAGGGCTTGTTCCATGCTGTATTTAGAAATAATTAAGAGCCCTCAAACTGTCAGTTGGAGAAATCCAAAGACCAAAGCTTCAACTGTAAAAAATTTAAATCTTTGTGCAGATTTTGCCATGTCACCTTAAAACTCCTTGCATGAAGAAGCTTCTTTGAGAAGGTACTTTCTGCAGTATTCATAGGTGTTTCTGGCATCTGCCCTCTTACTAGTACCATATTACAGGTTTTAAGTTGTTTTTCTTAATTTTTACTAATGCTTTTCCTTGAATACAACTTATACTGTGAGGAACAGGAGAGAGAAGAATTAACATGAAATTCTGCCTAACTTCATGTTGCCAAAAAACAAACAAACAAAAAATCAAAAAACCACCAAATGCAGTACTTATTGCTTTTATATAATCAAGAGAAAAATTAAGCTACAAGAATGCTGTGAGTATAAATCAAAAATGCCAGTTACATAAGGGACCAATGCTGCCTGTGATTCAGCATGGTTTGAATAACCCTTGGAGACTATGTTAATAAACTTTGCAATTCACAGCTAGCAATTGTATTTTTTATGCCACATCCTGAGGCATTTGAACAGGAGTTAGTTATTCCCCAGGTGTTGAAATGACTGATGTGCTATCTCAGCTCTCCAAAGAAGTACTGCAGTGTTTCCAGAGGTGGGAAAATGCCCAGAAGAACAACCTGCAGGGATATTTTTTCTAACCTGCCCCCCCGAATCTCCCCACCTCCCATTTGTAAATCCATATCTCCCCATCAATATGCATAGAGGATCCCCAGGCATTTGTTGGGAGCTGTCTTTTGGTCATCGTGACAACAACCTGCACCCTGCAGCCCCAGGGTGCTTCATTTAGGGCCCCAGCACCCAGTGACAGGGTAACATAGTGCTGTTTTGTATGGATGAGACTGGGGCGCCCAGTCCCACCAGTGCTGCCCTTTTATCTTTCAGAGAAGTTGCAGGCAAGAAGCACAGAGCAGAGTCACATCTGGGAAACTTGGCCATCCCTTCAGGTGCCCTTGGATAGGTGAAGCTGCCTCAGTGTTTCTAAGCAGCACAGGCAAAAATCCTGTGATCTCCATGAACAGGCTCTGATAACAAAAAAAAAAAAAAAAAAGAGTGAAGAAGAAGAGATGAAGGGGGACATTAAACTTCTGCTCCTCTTAGTGGGACAGAAGAGTTGTTGGGGAGAATACTGCTGCTGCTGGGGAAGAATTTGTGTCTCTGAAGCAACAAGCTGCCCCCTTCCATTCTCAGGGCAACTGGCAGGACCTGCCATCCCTGTTCCCAGGACTTTGGCAGGGCAGAGATGGCAAGTTTAGCTGCTCAGACATATCCCTGTGTTGTGCATGGAGCTGTTGCTGAGGATGGGGATGGTTTGGGCACTGTGGGCTGCATGGCCATGCGTGTGGTTGGCACAGGGCTTCAGGGCTGCTCCACAGTGTGGACCTTGGCTTGACCTGTAGTGCCTGAGCAGGAGGCAGGGCTGCCAGCAGCACCCAGCATTCCAGGGATGTCCAAAATCCTCCCTGATATCCTCAAGCTGTAATGATTGCTTTGCAGCACTAGCTTTGTCTTCTACTCAGCTAGGAAAACTGGAGCCTTCGGGTGGCTGTGGGGCAGGTCGACACTTGGGGCAGAGCGAGGCCCATCATTTCACCACCCTGATCATGTTCTTCCTGGAGGGGCTTTTGCTTGTGTTTCAGCTGGGTTGAGATTTAGGATTTAAAAACCAGGCTGAGCTGGTAACCAACCTGGGGGTGTTAGTGAAGTGGGACTGGCCACAGAGGCTGGAGGATCATCTATTGGATACACTGCAGAGCTTTTGTGTGTCTCATGGGTTCTTCACCAGCTCTGCCGCAGTGACTGTGGGAGCAGCATGGCAGAAGATTCAAATCCATGACACCATTTGTTATCTCCATGGCCTGGAGCTCACCAGTCCCCGCTGCAGTGGCTCCAGGCAATGACAACTCGAAGTAAAAGTCCATTGTGGGAAGAGCATTTGATCACAAGCAAACATTGGGTGGCAGCTCTGGGCTTCCCCGCTAGTCACGCTCAGGGCTGCGGTGAGACTTTGTCACTCTGCAGCGTCTTCTCACAGGCTGTGAGTTAGGGGGAGGCAGAGGAGGTTCCTCCTTTGGGGTCCTTCTCAGTCTTTCCCAGGTTCAGCACCCTGCTGTCCACCCTGGTCTGGTGAAGAAAGGAATGAAAGAGAGGATGTGGGCTGCAGGCTCCCAGGTTGGCTTTGCTCAGCTGACACCTCTGTCTGTCCCATGCTGGTTAATGCAGCTGCCACCACCTCAGCACAGCCTCCAGGGGCCTTGCACCCAGCACTGCCTCCAGGCATGAATCCCTCTCAAAGCTGGAAGGAACAAAAGGGAAAAAAACCCCAACCAACAAAAACAACAAAAAAGCACCCAAAAAACCCCCCATTTTTTATGTACACCTTTAAAAGAAAGGCAGGGATGGGCCAATCCTTTTGGTCTTAATTAATTAGCTCTGCAGTAATGAATTATTTAAAGCAGGGTTGGCTCTTGCTGGGGAAGGTTCTAGCACTTTAGCTGGGATGCTGGTGAGATGTGAAGGCCCTGCTTTGAAGAGATGCACAGGGTAGAAGAAATAGGAGCCAACAAAGTGAGTTTGCTCTGATCAACCATGTGGAAACACAGCCCTGGAATGCTGTAGGGAAGCTGTAAGTGTAACATGTCACTGAGCATTTTTATTTATCTTTTTATCCACCTCAATTATGGTGGCTGAGGTTTGGGTTTAGAGAGGCAACTGGAAGAAAAAAATCTGGGAGGGTTATATTTAAATGAAAATACATATAAGTAACTTCTGAGGAATTGACCCTGGCTGCCAGGATGTTCCGTGAAAGGTTAAAGGAAGCATTTTAAAATGTAGGTGAAGGAAAAAAGAAATGCTGTTTTCCAAAGGCAACAGAAGCCCCAGAACACACTTTCTGGGTCTAGTGAAGAAAAACTGTATGAAAGCAGCAGGTTTTTAGAAAGGAAAGACTGTCAGAGAGTTGTTCATTGGCATCTGGAAATGTTTGTCTTTAAAGTCTGTTTTTAAACAGAAAGGCAAAGAAGAAGTGCACTTGAGTAAACATACAGTACTGCAGCCAAGAAAACCCTCTTAAGCAGCTTAAAGCAACCCAGAGGGCACAAGATGCAAAGCCCTGCAGGGGCCAGTGCTCCAGCCTGGGCAAGCACAGGGCAGCCTGGCCCTGGCACTACTGAGAGCCTTGGGCTCCTGCGTTGTGGGGAGCAGGTTTCCTCAAGAGTTGCTGTGCTGCAACTTGTTGCTGCCTGTTGAACTCATTGAAGCAGGTCTCCCTGCAAAGTCTCCCCTGTGCACCTTCACCCTGGCCTCCCATCCCTCCCAGCCAGCAAAGGTCTTTGCTTGAAAACTGCTGTGCACCTCCCAAAACTCCAGCTCCCCCAGACCTTGCTTCCTGCCACCTCACACAAGCACTGAGAGCTGAAATCACCCATGTTTAAGATCTCTCCCCAGAGCCCTGAGCTGCTGAAATTATTTCAGTGTCTATGGGCTTACACTGGGAGCCTCTGGCTAAAGAGAAGGGGGTTTTAATTTATTCAGAGTCCGTGTCAAGCCTAAATGATGTTATATCTGGGGAGTCCGGCTCTGCTCCATGGAACAAAGCAGTTAATTAATGAAGGAATTAGCTCTTGGTCTGAGTAATAATTTCCACTGGATCCCAGTACTTTGTGGACAATTGTCTGTATCAAAATGACCGATTAAATTGGGTAAAGGAGGTCTGACGTGAAGAGATAATGACTGAAGTACCCAATTAGTATGGAGGAGGGGCAGAAAAGCAATTAAATAAGGGGATCTGAATATGTTGGGGCATGGGATTGGCTGAAATGAAAATAGTGGAAAAAAACCCAGGCAAGCACTGAGTTAGGAATACAAATCCTTTAAAGAGAAACCAGAGGAATGAATTAACTATCATTTTGAGATTAATATGAGACCTTTCTTAATTGACTTTATTGGAGTTGACTGCTCTGATGGTCCCTTTCTATCTCAGCAGCACATTTCATTATGTCTCCAGGTTTGTTTCTCAGCCTTAATGTGCTTTTCTAGGCATTTTTTAAAGTTAGTATAAATAAATCTCCAGGTTCCAAAGGTGGACTCTAATTGAAGCTTAAGAAAGAGCAAGCAGAGGGAAGAACATGGTTGAGTACATAGGAAATTAGAAATAAGAATAAATAGCATCATGGGACTTGGGGGGAGAACAGAGATAACCACACAGTGTGAGATGAATGCATGAAAAAGTGGAAAATTTTAGTCCGCTAGAAAGAGGAAATGGGGCATGTTGCTGCAGACACGACAGCAGATGGCAAAATTGAGCTACAGAGACAGGGCAGGGAAACAGCTGGAGAGATGAAAAAAGGCTGTGAAGGTGATGCAGATTTGCTGCCACCAAGCAGAGTAACTGCAGCCTCCTCCAGTTGCGATTTCTACTTCTGTTAGTGAACCCTGAATCCTTGAAGGTAACCCCTTTTGGTGCCTAGATGTACATCTAATGAAAATTCATGGCTTCAAAGCTGCTCTCCAGCACCAAAGCTGGTGTCATTCTTTACTGAGCTATCCAGTAGCTAACACACACACCACACAATCATCTGCATATTTGATGCAGGGCAGAGAACTGAGAAATCTATAGCTTTTAATCCAGTGATGAATCATTTATGGGATTTTGGATTATTCACTTTGCACTGAATTAAGTTGTCTCTCTTTCACAAAGTGAGACCCCCCCTGGCACTGTGTGCGTCACAGACCAGGCTGCACAGTGATGTATGTTGCTGGGATGAATTATTTATTGGACGTTTTAGATCACTTGCCCAGCAGTGAACTAAGTCTGTTAATTTTAAATCTGTTCATATCCATTCCTAAGTACACAAAAAGAAGTATTCTATGTACATGAAATTAATCTCCTC